ATAGGGTGTTGTTGTTGTTAGGTGCCATCGAGCCATTTCCGACTCACAGAGACCCTGTGCGCTAAGCAGAGCAGAACGAAACACCACTCGATCCCACACCAGCTCCATGATCTTTGCTATACTTGAGCCCATCATCACAGCCACCGTGTCAATCCATCTCGTTGAAGGCCTTCCCCTCTTTCGTTGACCCTCCACCTTACCAAGCACGACATCCTTCTCCAGGGAATGGTCCCTTCTGACATGACCAAATAGGTGAGACAAAGTCTGGCCATTCTCACTTCCAAGGAGCATTTCGACTGTACTTCCTCCAGGACAGATCTGTTAGTTCTTTTAGCAGTCTGTGGTACTTTCAGCATTCTTCTCCAGCACCACAACTCAAAAGCATCAACTCTTCTTCGGTCTTCCTTAATCACTGTCCAGCTCTCACATGCATATGAGGGGAATGAAAATATCATGGCTTGTGTCATGCATACCTTAGTCCTCAAAGACGTATCTTTGCTTCTCAGCACTTGAAAGAGGTCCCTTGCAGCCAACTTGCCCAGTGCTATACATAGCTAGGAGCTCTGGTAGCATAGTGCCTAAGGCACTTAACTGCTAACCAGAGGGCTGATGGTTCATACCCACCAGCCACTCCTTGGAAGGAAGGATGGGCAATCTACCTCCATAGTGATACCACCTCAGAAACCCAAGGAGGGGTCGATATGAGTAGGGTCCGACTCCATGGCACATAACAACAATATACGTCATCTAATGTCCTGACTGCTGCTTCCACTGGTGTCGATTGTAGAACCAAGCAATGTGAATTCTTTGACGACTTCAATCTTTTCTCCATTTATGATGATGCTACTTAGAGGTCCAGTTGTAAGGATTTTTGTTTTCTTTATATTGAGATGTAATTCACACTGCAGACTATATTCTTCAATCTTCATCAGTAACTGCCTCAAATCATCCTCACTTTCAGCAAGCAAAGTTGTGTCGTCAGCATATCGCAGGTTGTTAATGATTCCTTCTCCAATTTTGATGCCAGGTTCTTCTTCATATAGACCAGTTTCTCGGATTATTTGCTCAGCATATAGGTCAAGTAAGTATGGAGAAAGGATACAACCCTGATGCACTTCCCTTGTTCTGTTTAAACTACAACCTCCTGGTCTAAGTACAGGTTCCCCATGAGAACAATTAAGTGTTCTAGAATTCCCATTCTTCTCAATGTTATCCACAATTTATTATGATCCACACTATCAAATGCCTTTGCATAGTCAAAGTAAACATCTTTTTGGTATTCTTTGCCTTGAGCCACGATCCATCTGACAGCAGCTATGATATCCCTTGTTCCATGTCCTTTTCTGAATCCAGCTTGAACCTCTGGAAGTTCTCTTTCAATATACTGCTGCAATCGTTTTTGAATTATCTTCAGTAAGATCTTACTTGTGTGTGATATTAATGATATCATTCGATAATTTCCACCTTCTGTGGGAATCACCTTTTTTTGGAATGGGTACAAATATGGATCTCTTCCAGTCAGTTGGCCAGGTAGCTGTCTTCCAAATCTCTTAGCATAACTGAGTGAGTGCCTCCAGCGGGGTACCCATTTGTTGAAACACCCGAATGAGTATTCCGTCAATTCCTGGAGCCTTGTTCTTTGCCAATTCCTTCAGTGAAGCTCCGACTTCCTCTTTTGGTACTACTGGTTCTTGATCATATGCCACCTCCTAAAATGGATGAAGATCGACCAGTTCTTTTTTGGTACAGTGACTGCATATTCCTTCCATCATCTTTTGATGTTTCCGGCATCATTTAATATTTTGCCCATAGAATCTTTCAATATTGCAACTCGAGGCTTACATTTTTTCTTCAATTCTTTCAGCTTGAGAAATGCTGAGAATGTTCTTCACTTTTGGTTTTCAATCTCCAGGTCTTTGCACATTTCATTACAGTAATTGGTTTTGTCTGCTCAAGCTGCTCTTTGAAATCTGTTTAACTCTTTTATCTTGTCATTTCTTCCATTGGCTTTAGCTACTCTCCGCTCAAGGGCAAGTTTCAGAGTTGCTTCTGTCATCCATTTTGGTCTTCTCTTCTTTCCTCATCTTTTTAGTGACCCCTTGCTTTCTTCATGTACGATGCTTTTCATGTCATCCCACAATTCTTCTGGTTTTGGGTCACTGGTGATCAATGCATCAAAGCTATTCCTTAGATGATTTCTAAATTCAGGAGGGATATATTCAAGATCCTATTTTGGCTCCTGTGGACTTGTTTAAATTGTGTTGAACTTGCATATGAGCAATTGATGGCTGTTGTACAATTAGCTCCTGGCCCGGTTTTGGCTGAAGATACTGAGCTTTTCCATCACCTCTTGCCACAGATGTAGTCAATCTGATTTCTGTATGCTCCATCTGGCAAAGTCTAGGTGTACAGCTGCTGTTTGTGTTGTTGAAAAAAGGTATTTGCAATGAATAAGTCATTGGTCTTGCAATATTCTACCATGTGATTTCCAACATTATTTCTGTCACCAAGGCCAAATTTTCCAACTACTGGTGATTCTTTGTTTCTATCTTTTGCATTCCAGTCACCAGTGATAATTAACACATCCTGATTGTATATTTGGTCAATTTCAGACTGCAGACTTCCTCACTAAGATTCATTCAATTTCCCGTTTTCCCACTTGCATCCCTGCTGCTGCCCCCTCACTCTGTCCCAGTCCCCCTGGCCTTTTACTCTCCTTTCCTGCCTTTCCACTTGTGGGGTGTGGCCTGGGTTCCCTCCCCTCACCTGGACCCCTGCCACTGACTCCTTGTTCTGTCCCGTCCCCCTGGCCTTTTTCCTCTCCTTTCCCCCCACTTTCCCGCTTTGCCACTTGTGGGGCATGGCCTTGGTTCCCTCCCCTCACCTGGACCCCTGCTGCTGACTCCTCTAGCATATAGGTACACAACTGTAAACGTCTACTGAATGAATGTTCTCATGGGTGAACCAGTATATTTACTAAGGAAAGTTTAAATATTTACCACTTGAAGCCTCTGTGAGATCTGAAGGTAGAACAGACTCTTCAACTAAACATCCAGCCTGTGTTAAACCAGGTCCAGAAGAAGATTTCTTGGGGAAAAAAAATTAAAGATTAAATTGTATGACACTGTATTAGTTATAACCAATACCATTATAAGATTTGAGTAAGGATGATTACTTGAAAAAAATTAAAAAAAAAAAAAAAATCCTGGTGCTAAATCTATCACTTCCATTATCTAGCTATTATAAAAATATGCAGAAATCTATCGAGAGCATTTATTATAATTGCAGCCCAAATATCCTACAAAAAGCAATTCTCAGCTCCCCAGGAAAGTTTAAAGGACATATTTTTATTGCCTTACTATTTAAAGTCTAGAAAACTGTGTTAACTATAATCCTATAAAGATGAAATTGTCAATTAAGAAAAAATAGTATATAACTACTAATCAAATAACAAACGATATCAGTAACTACAGTAGAAAAAATTACAACTACTCCTCATTTATCCACTATCTTGTTATACATTTCACATTTTGGCATGACAACCAAAGTAAAAAATCTACTATCCAACTATTGTGTGCATTAATGACATACATCTGGCAGTAACAAACGCCAAAGTATGAGGCAAGAATAACGCTGGCAGTGATGGTTAAGGTTATGTGCCAACTTGGCTGGGCCATGAGTCTGGTTTGGCAGTTATGTAATGATGTAATCTGGCAGTCAGGTAATGATACAGTCATCCTCATTTTGTGACCTGATGTGGTCATTCTCCATTTTCACATAATGCTGATTTTCTCATAACAACCTGGCCTCTAGAACTTAACTATGTCATACATGTGGAACAGGGTAACTGAAACATTAATCTTTAGAAATCAGTTCTAATTCATGGCTTATGTCCAAAAAATTAATCAAAGTACCAATAAGAACCAATACTATTGCTTTTGTTAGAAGATGATTTTGTATTATTTTGAATAAAGTAGAGGGAGCAGAATCATAAGCCACTCTGAGATGAAAATGAAATCTATCTGACTCCAAAGAATCTTTAATGACTATCAAACATTTGTTACGCCAGTTCAAATAAAATCAATATGAGATGCACTGGATCTCTGTAACAGAGAAAGTAAGGGAAAAAAAGTTCCAACTTTTTATGGCATTAAGTGTGTCCTCTCACTACTTTAGAAATGGGAAGCTATTCTATCAAACCAGAACCAAGACAATGATGCAGGAAAAGTCAGTCACAGAGAATCAGCTTCCATTTACATTTTAGTGACTGCCCAGGATCTTCAATCGTATTTATTTTCCCCAAAATTCTGTAAAATTTGTATTGGTTATCATTTTTGGTAATCTAGACAGGTTTTAGGTAGCTATAAGCAAAAAAGTCCCTAACGTCACTTGAAAGAAATAAGCAGAGCAAATGAGGAATCACTAAATAGCACCTGTTTCTTAGCCAGTATTATAACAGGTACTAGGCAACACCCACAGACCTGAGGCGTACATGCCATACATTATCTCCTCATTTACCAACTACACTTAAATATTATGCTTGCATGCCTGCCTCCCAGACAGACAAAAAGCTCCTCAATGACAGAACTATGATTTATTCACTGTCAGACCATCAGCATCTAGAACAAACCTAGCATACAAAAGATCATAAAGTCTTAATCTTTTCATAACATATCAAAACTGTGTCTAATAACCAATAAACCAACCAAAAACATTCAAATGCAGGAAAAATAAATACAAACACATATATAACTTAAAACACCACCTACAAATAGTATGGCAGAACAAGGGAGTATAACTGAAAATGGGCTTATACAGTTTCAAAACTGCCAAAGTAGAAAACCAATGTTTTAAGTAAGTGAATTACCTCAGAAAGATCTACAGGTGACGTTTGAACAGTGCATGTTCTGTCTGTACCGGGGAAAGTATCAGTGCTGACTAACTGGAGATTAATTCCCTTTTTTCCAGCATCAATCAGATTTTCATTAGAGTTGCTCTGATAGGATATTCTCCGACGTTTGGATGATAACTTCACAGAGAATCCAGTCTGTTGCCATTCTCTAAAATCTTTTTTGATTACATATAAGAAACAAAATAACATGGGCTTAACTGTGTTTTTTTTATAACATCACTTGTAAGTTTTATACATTATAATTTAGGACAATTTAGTCTTGGCTTTAAATACTTTATAAATGAAAACAAAAATCTAGTAATTTTTATATTCAAAAATAAAATTCCACTAAAAATCAAGAGAATGTGATTACTTCAGGTACTTGAAAGATAATAAAAAATTATTAAATAGATTTAATTTTTCAGACCCTAAAATGTACAAAATAGATTGAAAAATATTTGCACTACTCATATGGATTTATCACTGCATTTTTACATTTAGATCAACACTTTCTGTTTTAAACATTTTAAAGGATGTGGTTATGTTCTCCTACTTACTCTGCTTCGATGATATATGATTTTATGAAAAATACAACCACAATGGGCCTTTAGTTCTTCCTACACAAGAAAAGAACTTAATTCTCTGCAGAATTACAATAATGATGTAAATACAGTATTTTAAAACCCAGGTAAAAATTGAAAAACAGGTACATTATAAACTACAACTATAAATTAGTATATCTGAATGGGCACTATACTCTAGAGGTGGTGAATCTGATTTGTCTTGACTAACAAAGCACTGAACACAAATAGGTTTGAAAAATGTATCTGAAGATGGCATCAAAAAGTCAAAATAAAATCATTTGGAATCTCTCATCATCCCTTTGGAATTTTAAGAGTTTAAAGTAAGTATCAGAGCTCGGAAAGAAGGTTGGGCAATCTACTTCTGTAATGATACCACCTCGGAAACCCAAGGAGGGGTCACTACGAGTCAGGTCTGACTTGACGGCACATAACAACAACAACAATTAGAGGAATCATTGTGATGATTATAGTTACACTAAAACTTTAATTCTAATGTTTGAAATGCTTTGTGATTCAAAAATCAAAAGTGGCTATTAGAAAAAAAGAGCTATAATCTAATGATTATGATAAAAAATTTGACACATGATTAAAATTCAGATAGGATATATTCATTTATAATATCAGGAATGGGTATTTGGTTTTCACACACGTGCTTGGCCAAACGTAAAAATAATCCTCTAAAAATTAAGGGTTGTAAATTCAAATTTGCCACATGCTCTATTCTGAAACTTAAATGACATAATCAGCTCTGACATTTGAAAATTCAAACCTTAATTGTGACCACATGGGAATGCTAGCTCAGGAATGCCAGATATCAGGTTTTCTCAGGAGAAACCAGCAATCCATTATTTTTGTGGTGAAACATCCAAAATTTTAAATGTGAGGCTCCATTGAAAAATAAATTGTACAACAAATTTGCAACCTCTGTTCTGCAACCTCAGTTTGACGACAGTGTAGAATTAAATCTTTTTTCTATCTTATCTTAGGAGTTTATCTGCATAAATACTGAAGTCAAAATCAACTGAATGCTTTCTACTCACTGAAGTCTGTAGTCTCAAACGCTCTCTCTTCCTCTGAGAATTCCGGACAGTCAGCCATTTTCTCATTTTCCTTTATGGAGTGAAAAGCAGACTGGAAGGCAGATATTCGCTCTCTTAATGAATTAACATTTCGATACAGTACAGGGCTGCCCTGTTAAAGTACACAGACATAGAGGGTATTAAAAATCAAGTAAAACATAGTTTCTATACTCTAGGCCTGTAACCACTGAATCCCAAACTAACTACACAAAGGCTTTTTGAAGATCAGGGGTAATAAATTAGTATAGGAGAGCTTCTTCTCCTTTGAATTACTCATTTTCAGTTTGATTATTTGGTGTGCTATCATCTCAGCAAAACCTGACCAAAGAGGAATAGCTGAGTGGTATATACAGATGCACAGCTATCTACTGGTTAATATTGATACTAATGATTCCACAGATCATACTAAGTCTGAATTAGGTGGAAAATGCATTAAAAAAGGTACCTAGCCAAAACACATTTCTGATTATTTTGGGGCCAACTCTTAAATTCTTCCTGGGGCTTTAAGGATTCTCTTTCATATCTTAAAGTCAATTACCAGAGACAACCTCAGCAAATCAAATTCGAAAGGGAAAAAAGTTGACCGCAAACAACGCATGAGAAAGGCCAGCCCAAGAGACTATATGCAGAGCATAAGAAAGCACTGCATCCTGAAGGAGACAAGAAAGAAGGGGCAGGACAAGGAACTTGCCTCTTTAAAATTTTACCAAGAGTTGTACTAAAAGCATCCAATGAAGTCATTTGTGTAATGCCTTTGTCCCTTGTAAATCTCAGCACACCTAGTTGAATCCAAGCTACTCTCATTACTCATCTCTAGTCCATACAAGCATTCTTTCTCAGGAGACCAGAACAAAAGACAGAAGTTTCATAGTAGCCTGGCTAGCTAGCACTCTTACATTACCCTCTCCACTTTGGCTCTCCAACTAAACTCTCCTGATTTCATGGCACACGGGGAACTTCCTTAGGGCCAAAAACCAATTGTTCACTTAAAATACAAAGCCAAGTAATCAGGTAGTCTAAGCTCTGCGGAAAGAAAGATTGGGAAATACAATTTATACTAGCAAAGACAGAAGTGCCAGAAAAATGCAAATAATATAAATTAAGAGTTGTGCTTGCCTATAAAATAATTTCTGATTAAGTCCCCTATCCAGCATTTTTCTCCTTTATTATCTGGACCACAAACATATTTCTACTTATTTAGAGCTTCCACTCTATTTTTAAAAAATTACATCAACAGGCAAAAGCAAAAAAACAAAAGTTACCTCCTGCTAAGATATCATATGGAGGAAAATCAGTTAAAATCTTGAAGCCATGCTTGATGACCTATTCACAAATGTGATTATGTACATTCATAAAGCAAACTCTGTTACATAATAATAGAACATTTTAAACTCAAATATGGTTGATGATGTAAACCTTTAAGACATAATGGCAAATAATATTTATAAAAGGCTAATGGTCAACTCTTATCCTAAATTGACACAATTTACCTTGAATACGTTTTTTTATACTCATATTTGAACAGAATAGGGGTAGGTCTGATGTCCTAGGAATGTGAGTACTTTGAAATGCTGCTTAAAATAAAATTTAAGATCCCCTTATCAAAACTGTTTTTCCTTTATTCCCTGATGAAGAAAGAGAGTGATACACATACACAAAGTACAGCAAACATTTAAAGCGCTTTTTTAATGCTCTGTTTCAAAGAGCCTATGAACGAATTGTCAGTCAACAACAATCATTCGACATACCAGCAAATTTTAGGGGTTGATGATACCAGGGAAGCGGGGGTTGGGGCAAGAAAAGGAAGGAGATTACATTCTACAGTGAAAATCTGAGAACATATTAATAGGTGTTTCAGGTACAAGAGATGTTACTGAGTAACGTGGCTGAGTCACTAAAAGTGCTGCTTTAGCTAGAGTCAGGACAAAGCTCAATCTGAAGTTAATAGTTGAAGAGAAAATGATGAACAAGTGGCAGTTAAGAGACCATACTGGAGGAGGGAGGCATTCTGCAAGAACAACGCGGAACAAGAGCAAGAGCCCTGAGATGGAAATAGGATGGAGGCAGAAAGAAGTTCGGCACACTTAGAGAATGGAAGGAGACAGGGAGATGAGGCTACGGGAGGGCAGGGCTCGGTTCTGGGAGAGCAGTGTGAGCTTCAGAAATAGGTTTAGATTTAATTCAAGGAAAAACAAGAAGTCAAGTGAACAATCTACTTTATTATCTAGAGATATCACTGTGACTGCTCTGTGGAATGGGAGATAAATTAGACAAAGAGAAAAGTAAGATGACCAGTTAGGTCATCCTTTATTATCTGGATCACAAACATATTTCTACTTATTTGGAGCTTCTGATAAATTTAATATGTGTAATAACAAATAAGGAGCTCTGGTAGCATAGTGGCTAAAGCACCTGACTGCTAACCAGAAGGCTGGCGGTTCAAACCCACTGGCCAGTCCTCGGAAGGAAGGTTGGGCAATCCTACTTCCGTAGTGATACTGCCTCGGAAACCCAAGGACGGGTCGCTATGAGTCGGGGCCGACTTGACGGCACATAACAACAACAACAATAACAAATAAAATGCTCTGCCCAGTAGATACTGAAATGCTAAAGACCGTGTGCTTCATGTTCAAAAAGTAAGAAATTACGCAGAACAACAATATATTGAGGTAGAATTTATACTTCCTTTTATTTGAAATGCTATAATCTAACTTGTGAAAATATAAATTATAACTATTACCTCCCATTTCTAGTTTTTAAAAAATTACAACAGGCAAAAGAAAAAAAAAAAAAAAAAGTTACCCCCTGGTAAGGTATCATATGGAGGAAAATCAGTTAAAATCTGATTTTAGAGGCAGCTGGTGATCCAGGCAGAACCAGGCAGACAGAAGAGCTCTACAGCTGTGAAGCTGTGGAGATGTGAGGAATAGGATTAAAAAACAAACAAACCCACTGCCGTTGAGTCGATTCCAACTCATAGAGACCCCCACTGGATTTCTCAAGTGGTAAATCTTTATGGAAGTAGATTGCCCAGTCCTGCTTCTGCACAGTGGCTAGTGGATTGGAACCATCAACCTTTCTGGTTAGCAGTGAGATGCCTTAGATATTGTGTTACCAGAGCTCTAGGATAGGTTCTTGAATGTAGCCAAAAGGTACTGATGGGTTGGATGTGGGATATGAGGAAGAAGGGAGTCAAAGAATACTGGTATTTGGCCTGGGCAACTGGATGATGGTGGCATTTACTGAGATGGGGAAGTAGAGAAGAGGTTTTGGTGGGGAATGGATACCCATAGTTTTGTTTCTTTTCTTTTATTTTTTTTGGTCACATTATGCTTGAAATGCTTATTATAACACTGAAGTAGAGAGGTTGAATGGACAACTAGATAGCTAACTCTGGAGCTCTGGGAAGCTTCAGGCAAAAGATAGGTGTTTTGGAGTCATTCCTCCACAGATGATGTTCAAAGCCACGAGAAAGGATTAGATTGCCTAAGGAAAGCAAAGATAAGGGGACAAAAGAGAACCATGGAATACTCCAGCTTTATTGAGGGGAAATTGGAAGGGGAAGAATCAGCAAATAAAACAAAACAGGAATTATCAGTGACATAAGGAGAAAATCAGGTTAGATAGGTATGTTTCAAGGAGGATGCAAGTCTATCAAAAACTGCTGAAAAGTTGAGTAAAATTAAAATTTAGATTTAATTTTTTGGATTTAGCAAGATATAGGCCATTTGTGATCAGTGTGACAAGAGTCTTCTCAATGGTGTAATAGAAATAAAAGTCCAATTGGAGTGGCTAGCAGTAATGGAGAGGGTGGAAGGTAAGGAAGTGGAATGTGCCAGTACAGACAAGTGGTTCAAGGAACTTCACTGAGATGGAAAGGCAAAGGAATGGGAATAGTGGCTGAAGGGAGTAACAGGAAAGTCTAGGAAGAATTTTTTTTAAAGAAAGACATTAGCATTTGTTTATGCTAATGAAAATGACCCAAGAGAAAAAAAAAAAAAAAGATTATGCAATAAAGGAAGATAAGATAATTACAAAAGAAAAATCAGCTCAGAATAACACACGTGGTCAGAATAATGTAAACATCTGAATACTGAAGTAATCAATCTTTTGGGAAATTATAGAGGATAAGATTGTATGTGTGTATTCATGATAAAAGGTATGAGGAAAAAAAAAAGAGCTAATTCTTTATTTTCCATATAGTGGAAAGTCAATAACTAACGCCTATCACAGGAAAATTAAGAGGTAAAAGAATAAGCTTAGGGAAACAAATGCCAAAAGAATCCAGGACAAGACTTGAAAATGAAAGTCTTGAGAAAAGAGAAATCAGGGGAAAGGCAGGTGCCAAGATAATGTTTCATAAACAAACCTTATTTGTTTGTTGTTGTTACTTGCCATGGAGTCGGACTGACTACAGTGACCCCTCCTTGGGCTTTCGGAGGCAGTATCACTATCGAAGTAGATTGCCCAACCTTCTTTCCGAGGAGTCGCTGGTGGGTTTGAACCACCAGCCTTCTGATTAGCAGTCAAGTGCCTTAGCCACTATGCTACCAGAGCTCCCAACAAACCTTATAGTACTAATTGATTCCTTAAACTATGTGCAAGTATAACATCTTTATCTAAATTTTAAGAAACTTTTAGAAAAGTACTTATGAGAAAATTTGTTTACTATTAGACCATGATATCTACATTAGGTAAGACATAAGAAAGGACACAAAGTCAGGAATTGACAGTGAAAACATGGTAAGATCAGTACTTAGGTGATTTCCATATGAGAGAATTGCTGATGTGAAATGGAAGGATGAAATGCAGGAAGAAAAATGTGATGGTTGAAATAAATATACGAAAACTGATACACTTGCAAAAGGACATATGGTAGATGGCTGAGGTACGGTAGAGAAAAAGATCACTGGAGCTAAACAAGTTAAGAAAATGAGATGCCAGGATGTTAGTTCATCTATGTGGTTGTTATAATATTTAAGAACAAAAACAAGATTTGTAGAGGAACAATAGAGAACGATTTCCCATCTATTGTTCCTCTTAAGTGTTTTCTTTCTACAATGGGGGAAAGTAGAGAAAGAAATGATTTAAGCATATAGGTTCTTAGGAGTA